CCATGACCGGAGAATACGTTTCTTCAAAATCAATACCCAGTCTCTGGGAAAAACCCTGGGCTACAAGCTTGCTTTATATCTTGTGATATCCTTATTTTCATTTCTTTTTCTCACAAACACTCATCTGTAACCAACATGTTTTATTTTTCAGGTGTTTGGACTATTGGGCCGAATACTTGCCGCTTTTTTAATGAGTCCAATTCAGACTTAATTGCGTCTTTCCATTTTGCCCAATCATTTCCTTGTCGACATTCATCAACTGATTTTAATTCATAATCCTCGTCATCTTTCATTATATCGAGTGCTAACGAATATGCAAATGCATTATCAATATTTGTTTTCTCTATGTTCCAATATTTTCCACTGGTGGTATAGTTAACAGAAGTTTCAATAACTTCATCATCACTTTCATTAGAATTTTTAGTATCAACCTATTCAGGGGTTGTACTGATCTTTTCAGGTATCTGATCATTTTTTATCTCTTCACCAGTATTTACAATTTTCCTCTTTTGTGGATTTTTATCCTTGGAACCCAACGGTCTACCGCGTTTTACGCGGGCAGTATGCTCATTAGCACTCGGCACTTTCCCTTCTGGGATATTTATTTTAGCTGGTGTATTTGCTGCTGCAATATATGATTTTGTTACTCTGACAGCATCATTAAAAACATCAGACAATTGATTTGCAATTTTCTGCAAATGCACAATTATTTGAACTTCAAGTTCACTATGTTTCGTACGAGGATCAAATTCAAGTGGCATTTTCCACAAAATTTCTTTTTCAGTTGATTACTGTCTCCCCCTAATGTCGGGAAATGAGATTCATCAAAGTGACAGTCTGAAAACCTTGCAGTAAATAAATCACCCGTTGTTGGTTCAAGATATTTCGCAATCGAGGGTGATTCATGATTCATACCCGACATATATACCCAACCTTCTTTGAGGTCCCATTTTCGTGCGTTGAGGTGGCACAATTGGCACATAAACAGCACACCCAAAAATTCGCAAGTGAGATATATTTGGTATTTTTCCAGAAACCAATTGAGTAGGGGAATAACAGTGATAACTTGTCGGCCTTATTTTCACGAGGGCTGCTGCATGCAATATAGCATGTCTCCAATATGATACAGGAAGTTTAGACCTCATTAACAATGGTATAACAATTAATTGTAATATTTTGATAAGGGATTCAGCCAGGCCATTTTGCGTATGTACATGGGGAATAGGATGTTCACAGTAATCCCAATTGACATGCAATAATCATCAAATGTATGTGATGAATACTCTGCAGCATTATCTAAACATATTTTCTTTATCGGGTGATCTAGAAATTGTGCTCGAAATTTAATTATTTGTGCAAGTAGTTTAGCGAAAGCTAGATTGCGAGTAGATAACAGACATACGTGTGACCATCGCATTGACGCGTCAATTAGTACCATAAAGTATTTGAAGGGTCCACACGGTGGATCTATTAATCCACAAATATCACCCTGAATTATTTCCAGAAAAGCTGGGGGATTCAAATCCAACCTTTGTTGGAGATGGTCTGATTATTAACTTCCTTTGGGAGCAAGCAGCACAGGCAAATTCATTCGGACTCAGAATATTTTTCTTTTTCAATGAGTGATCATTTGAATTTTCAACAATTCGCCGCAGTATTACATTGCCAGGATGCCCAAGTCGATCGTGCCAAGTTTTAAATTCGCTAGTAGCCATTTGGTTTACTAGGTGATATGTTACAATGGCACTGATTTTTTAGTAATATAAGCCGGAAAAAAATGATGGCAATTTCTCTTTCACAATTCTTTTGTCATTCACTATCTGAGTTATCAAGAGATACTCATTTTCTGCCTCATTCAATGTTTCAATATGATACCCATTTTTCCGAATATCACTGAAACTCAGTAAATTCCTTCGAGCTTTGCTCGAGAACAAGGCATTTTCAATGGCCATTTTTGTCCCTTTTGGGAGAAATACAGTAGCTTTTCCTGAGCCTTCAATCATTTTCGATACACCACTGATAGTAACAATTGTGGTATTTCCCACATTCAGGTGGGAGAAATAACATTTGTTTTTCAGAATGTTGTGAGTCGTAGCACTGTCGATAAGACATATATTGTCATCGGCTCCAAAATATTTGGCATCCATATCTTTGCAAGAAGGTAAAAATAATAAAAAACATGTATTAGTAACATAATCATAATAGACTTATATTATAGGGGTAATACAAAAAGGGGGTAGAAAGCATAAAAAATAACAAAAGAAATACAACAATATTTTATCATTTAACATCATCAGCTATGTCAAGCAGATCATCGGCATCCATGTGCGTGATATTTTCATTCATCACATCATCAAATGTGTCATCGTGGGCAGTGTGGTTTGTTTCGGCAGCAACTTTTCCCTGCCTTTCTTTTGAGGCCCGATACAGTTCAGCCAAGTGACTGGCTGTGCGACAAACATGGGCTCAATGGCCTTTGATTCCACACAGGGTGCATTCCTTGTCATTGTTTCTGTTTCTCCCGGTATTGAACCTCTGTTGAGGTCTGTACAGCCTTATGTCATTATAACGCCGATTTGACACATATCGGAGCCTGTTTTGATAATTATTGTGACTGTATGCATTTGCCCCACCCCGTCCGCGATTCTGATTTTGATCGTGATCAATTCGCTGATTTCTGACTTACCCATGACCACGCACCGGATTTGCCGGTTGTATTGCATTTGCCTCTGGAAATGGAGTTGCACCTGTCGGCCGAGATTCATGATTTTTCAATAGCAATTCATTATTTTGTTCGGCCAGCAAAAGACAGGTGATCAGCTCAGAATATTTCTGGAAGTCTCTTTCGCAATACTGCTGTTGCAAAACCATGTTAGAGGTATGAAAAGTGGAGAAAGTTTTCTCCATCATATCAGATTCAGATATATTTTCGCCACAGTAGCGCAACTGTGATATTACTTTAAACAGGACATAATTATATTCTTGGACTGTTTTAAAGTCCTGAAGCCGTAGGCTTTGCCATTCGCTTCGTGCCCTTAGCAACAATATCAGCCTCAAATGATCGTATCTTTCTTTCAATCTCTCTCACAATTCAAGTGGGGATTCCAGCGTGACATACTGCATTTTCAGTGCCTCATTGATGTGATGGCACAAAAAGATCATGGCCTTTGCACGATCTTGGCTCGGGGAGTTTTTATTCTTGGAAACGGTATTTTCCAAGCCTATTGATGCCAGATGCATTTTAACATCGCGAGCTCATGCCATATAATTTTGGCCAGAAACGAAGAGAGGGAGAAATTCCTGTTTAGCAAGGTTAGACATAATAAACAAATAAAATATAAAGTATTACCTTGCGGAAATAAATATATAATCGTGCTGATAACGTGTTGTAATATTATTATAGAATTAGCCAATAGAAATATTAATTATTCCTACCGTTAATCATTATTTTATATATTGTATATAATATAATATATAATATATATATGTATGTAATAAGTGTGTATATTATAATATATGATATTGATGAATAGTATATATGTATGTATGCATGCAAAGATTTATATATATATGTATATAATATTATATAATAGCAGTAACCAAACAAAGAGAGCAGGGATTGAGAATGAAATTGAAGTCTGTAATTTCATTTCATTTACAGATTACAGACCTATATATAGGTAGAGAAACCTTAACTCGAAGGAAATGAAAACATACATATCCATACGTACAAAGAGGTACAAAGAGAGCAGGGATTGAGAATGAAATTGAAGTATGTAATTTCATTTCATTTACAGACCTATATATAGGTAGAGAATCCTTAACTCGAAGGAAATGAAAGCATACATATCCATACGCATAGCACCTACGAAGGTGCTACGTGTATAACAAAATTAAATATATTTAAAAATAAAATTAAAATATTTTTTAGCAATATTTTTTTAAATTTTATTATTTGAACTTTGCGTTTTTCGAAAAAAATATACTCTCTTCGTCCAAGCTAAAAGTATACAATTACTTTTGGCGCAGAGATTAAGGAATAATAGTATTTTAATTATAGTGGGTAGGTAAAAGTAGTAAAATGACATTTTTGCCCTTACTTTTTTGGTATAAAAGTAATGATGTGATGTAAAGTAGGGGTATTTTGGAAAAAATAGAGTATTTAATGAAATTGTTACTTTGTAATTGGACGTCCCAAAATAGAAATATATATATTTTCTAACTGGACGGAGGGAGTATTTTTTTCTCTCACAAAATATTCCATCAAACATTATTTTCATACCAAATCCAAATCAATTTTTTTTCAAATTCATCAAAAGAAACACTCTCTAAAAATGTTAAAACTAAAAATTTCTCAAAAATCATATCTAAAGAAAAGTTTATGAGTGTGTTTCATGACGGTTAGGGTGCTCATTCAATCAAATTACTATTGTGTTGATTTGATCAAATTAGTTAAAATAATTAGCAAACCACTACACATTAGATAGCATATTACTAAGTTGACACATTACCCCCACAAACAATGAGACAAATAGCATATGTTGTATAATATAATGTGCTATATACATTAATATTTGATATTTTTTTATAAATATTTGTTTATCATGTCAAATTATTATTGTACTCAATGATAATATATTTTGTTGAAATCAAAATGTATTTTACTATAGATAATTACATAATAGGCTATTCAAATATGTATTATATAGTACCTTCGTCCCACATACCGTGTCGGCTACACTGTAAACACGGTATTATAGGAGGAGTGTAATTAGTAGATAATTAAGAATGTATTAGTGAAAATAATTATCCTATAATATAAATAGTTATAAATTAAAATTAAGATAATTAATAAGTTTAATTAAAATCTAAAAAAATAAAAAAAATTAAAGTGTGTAATTATTTTTCAAAAAAAGAAAGTAACATAATATGTGAAACAGACAAAAATGACATCATGAATATGAATATAGTATGCGATACGGATAGAGTATTATTTTCTTATTTTCTTATTTTCTATTTTCTTATTATCAACATCTGAATTGATAATCGAAGCGATCTATCATTATAACATATTGTCATTGTCATTGTCAAAGTCAGCTCTCTCTCTCTCTCTATATATTGTATGGATTTTATATTTATGAATTCCCTTCCCCAACAAACCCACTTAGTCAAAATTCTTACACTATACTATAAATAACAAAAAATATTACAGCTAGCTGAGGTGAGGTGCTCCCACGCACAGTATACTTACTTGTATGTATCACTATCACCATATATTATATTATTATATATAAATAACCCTTGTATTATATTATATTAATTCTTCTTCTATGTATGATATGATCTCCTCTTAACTCCCTATTCCCCGTTAACCTCCACGCAGGAGTTATATTAATTTAAACACCACCACCACCATCAAATCAAATCAAATCAAAAATTAATATAGTATTTTAATTATATATATATATATATATATATAGCATATACTCCGTTATCGATGGGTATTAGTATTTGATCTGTGGATGGGTCTCCACAGCGTAGCCTCTGCTCTGCTGCAGGCAGGAAGAGGAAGGCTGACAGTTATGTAAATCAATTAATTGGATGGCGATGGCGACTGATGGGAAAGAGCAAATAAGCTGCAAGAAGAAGAAGAAGAAGATGCTGAAAAAGAGCATATTTTGCTGCAGTATCTTGTCGGCGGGTTGTTGTGGCTGTGGATCCAAAGGTGTCGTCGGCGATCCCATCTTGCCGGAAATCATTATCAAGAGAGCTGCTCAGGCCGCCGGGAAGACAACCGCCATTCTTGCTCAACCTCTCGCTGCCAAATCACTGCTCCCTAATAATTATAATAATAATATTAATAAGGTCATCTCTCTCTCTCCCTCTCTCTCTATATATATACACACACGGGGTGTGTGTCAGTGTGTATTTAATTGTGTTTTTTGATTGAGTTTGAAGAATACTTTTTGATTTGATATTTAGGTAAAGTATAATCAGTAAGTAATTAAAAAATATATTAGTAAAAATAATTATTATTTAGTAAAAATAATTTTAGATTAAGATTAAGATAAATAAATAGTTTAATTAAAATTAAGAAAATTATAAAATTTAAAATACAATTACAGTGCATAATTATATTTCCAAAAAAATATAAAGAACAAGTTATGTGGGATGGACGAAAATAAAAAATAGGGACAAATTATGTGGAAAAGAGGGAGTAATATTTAGTAAAATATTTTATGAGATAAATGGGTATATATTTGTTTTAAAATACAAAATTAAAATAGTAAAATTTGAACATCTGATTGAAAGAAAGACTCATACTGCCCTCAAGTTATAAAAATATTAAACTAAAAGTAAAATTTTAAAAGATATTATTATCTACGTTCTGTGACAAGATATTAAGGTAAATGAATTTAATGAATATATAATATTGAGTTATAATTTTATATGAGTAATATGATTTGTAGTTTGAATACATATAATCAAAATAAATTTAGAATATATATTTAAATATTTTAAATATTATATTAATTTATATGTGTGACTCCAAATTAATATACCCCAAAGTGGAATACGGGAGCGTAATCATATTAATATATATATGTAATACAAAAGTCACCAAATGCAGAAGGCTAATAATGGTCAGAATTATTAATGCGAATATAAATTGTTATTTGGAGAGTATTTCACTAATAGGTGAAGTTCTGGTGTGTTTTTTTTTATGAGTTCGAAGGAAATTTGGTTTGAGTTTAGTATATAAATAATTTTTGATGAGATATTTTATAAGAGAAAAAAATATATTTTTTTAAAAAATTACAGAGTTTAAATAATAAAATTTGAAAAAATTTTGTTAAAAAAAATCTAACAGAAAAATAAGAAGTATTAAGTAGTGTGCATCTTTATAAAAGTAAAGGATTCTCAACCCCTCATATTTTTTTTTAGTCCTATAAACACATATATTATATATATATATATGTATTAATACCAAAAGTATCAACACTTTATCCAATTGTTTTTTTTTTTTAAATTCATATTTTTTTTTCTACTTTTATGAAATTTGCAAACTTCCATGTCGCTATGCGTATAAACATTTGACCTAAAAAAATTTGTTTGAACATAGTGATTTTGGGAAAATTATTGCAATTTAATTCTTTATATAAGTTATTTCATTATTCTTTTTAACTCATAATTTTTTTTTAATTACATCTTATTTCACCCCTTTTGACCTTTTATTTTCTTTTTCTTTCCAGTGTTAAAATTCAGAAACAGCATAATTATTGCATGAGATTGTAAAATGAAACGATGGAAGTCTATTTCTTTTGGTTTTCTTTTGTCTAGTTCTTTTAGTTTTTAAAATTTTAATTTAAAAAATCATTGAATATGATATATATATATATATATATATATATTGTGGTTCAGCAGAGATGGAAGATGTTTGGGGTCAAGGACAAGGACAAGGACAAGGACAAGAAAGAGGCGTGGAAACCGGGGCCGGCAGCAGGCGCAAAAAGCGAGCGTAAAAAGCGCGGGCACTCATCAGTCGACCAAGGCAGGAGGTGCTGCCCCTGCACGACGACGACTAAGCTGTCGCATTCAGCAGCCTCCCTCCCGTCGCCATGGAAGAAAGAGGATTCGGATTCGGATTCGATGGTGGGGGCGGCGACGCTGACGGTGACGGTGACGCTGACACTCATAATTGTGGTGGTGTGCGGTAAGGCGTGCGCCATTCTCTGCACGGCGGCCTGGCTCTACTTCATTCCCCGCCTCCACTACAGATCATTGCCAATAATGGACATGAATAATACTAATACTAATAAAATTAGAGGGGAATTATTGGTTGATTTGGATTCGTGGGAGTACAAGAATAAGGTTGTTCTACGAGGATTGCTCCAAAGGGATCATCACCACCATTTGTGACCGCCCATCGTATTGTTTATATATGATATGTATAGTGTGGCGTGTATAATTTCTTGTGTTTTTGTATCTAACAATTAATATCAAAGGGTTTTTGATGAATTCTTGAATCTCGGCTTCTTGTTGCATTGTTCTGATTATTAAATTATACACTTATTTGGATGGAAATCAAATGAAAACTTAGAAAAACCAACTCAAACCAAGTTTTGGATTTTTTGTTGTTTAATCATTACAATTTTATGAGTTTTTTTAGAATTTTGTAATAGATTAAAAATTAATACTACGTAATATAGTACAAATTAAGAAAAAATACAAAAATATTTTCATTAGTGTCTTATAATACTAATTGAAGGATATCCGTACAAAATATTATATATATAAGGATATTTTTAATCTTAAGTACAATCACGCGGAAGATAAATGTGACCCTTAGAGGCGGATCGAGCTAGTAATTGTATTTTATTATTTAGTGAAAGTATTTAAGTAGTTTTGACATTTTTATCATTTGATTTTATCTATAAAGTAATTATACGTGTAATGATATATCTTTAATTTTTATAATTAATGTTAAAAAAGAAAATGAAAAGTTGGTTTGTACTCTCTGTCAATATTATTGGTTTTAAGCTGAATCCCTGTTGTTAAAAACTTTATGTGCATTCCTTTCTTTTTACTATTGATTTAAATTTAATTTCTATTTTTAATTTTTTTATTAAATAATACAGTATAAATATAATATACTCCTAAAATACATTTAAATACTTTTAATATTTTTTTATATACTTATAACACATCGCTTTCGCCTAAATTGTTGTAGTGATATACTTCTATTTGCTTTTTGTATACTTTTATTTCTGAATTTTAAAATTAAAAAAATTAAATAAAAATAATAATTAAAGTCACATTTTATTGTGGGATGAGACAGAAAACTACTATAGGCGAGGCCCAAAGAAAATTCTATTCCGCTTCTTTGTGTTCCTACTCGCTGTCATTTCTCTCAAATAAAAAAATATATAGTAAAAAATAATATATATAAATTATTCTATCAAATATTCAAAATTGTATATATAAGATACACTTGTTTTGTTAATACTAGTAATAAATTTAATTGTGTGTTTGTTTGGGGATTTGGATTTGAAGTTGTGATTTGAATAGTAAAAATTTTGAATTTAAATAGTTGTATGATGTGATATAAATAGGTATTGATGTGATATTTTGAATGTAAAATTGATTTTTAGTATAATATAAAAAATAAAAAATAGGTGTTTGATTTGATATTTTTGAGGGGAAAATTTTGGATGGATAGTGTAAATCCAATCCAATCCCCCAAACAGACACCTTCATTTTGTAAAAAAAAACAGTCATTTTTTCAAAAAAAATAATATATTACACACCTTCATTATTTTTATGTTTTCTACAATATTCTATACCTCACAAAAAAAAAAAAACTCTTTTGATTTATTTCACAAAACAATAGTTAGTATGTATAAATTAACCTTATTCTATAGAAAATAATACTCCCTCCGTCCCACGTACCGTGTCTGTTACACTATAGACACGGTAGTTTAGGAGGGGTGTAATAGTAGATAATTAAGAACATATTAGTGAAAATAATTATTCTATAATATAAATAATTATAAATTAAGATTAAGATAACTAATTAGTTTAATTAAAATTAAAAAAGATAAATTAAAAAATTTAAAATGAGATTAAAGTGTGTAATCATTTTCCAAAAAAAAAGTGACATGGAATGTGGGACAGACAGAAATGAAACGTGGACATGGTATGTGGGACGGGAGTATTAAATAAATTTTAAATAATGATTTAGTTAGATGCATTTATTTTTGCCTAATAATTTTCGTACCAAAAGATTTACATATGGATAAATATACATATGGATATTTACATAATTTTGTATAAAAAAGGATTTTCATAAATAATATTTTATTTTTTTATACTTTAAAACGTGAAAATAAAATAAAATAAATATAAATATAATTTCTTTTAGAAAAAAAAGAAATTATATTTATAAATCTTATTCAATAGAAAGTAAAATTAAATAAATTTTAAATAATGATTTAGTTATATTTTTATTTTTTTAACCTAATAGTTTTAAATAAATTTATTTAATTTTTTAAAAGAATCAATAAGAATAAATAAAGTCAAATTTTTTCTCGTGAAGCAATTTTAATTACAATAACACACCTAAAATATACAGACATAAAAAATAAAATTATTCAAATACACATCATAAACCCTCATGTATATATCGGCTTAACACTCATGCATATACTTGGTAATACACAAATAATACCTAAAAACTATTATTTATACATCTCGTGTTGGTATTTGTACCTAGATCACATTTTTACATACCTACATAAAATATCCACATACTGTGGGGCAGATCCTAACTACTTATAATGATGATCTCATATGCTTCCGTAAAAAGTATATATGCGTTGATAATATGTGTGTAATGCCCCGATTTCGGAATGTATAAAATAATATTATTATAGCAAATAAATATTTGACAATAGTAATGGAATCAAGAAATTAATATTTTGGGATAAATTATATTCCAATTTTGTATATTAGTTATAATTAAATAGACTGTTAAACGGATAAATATCGATAAATATAAATATAAAATATAAAATATATAATAATATAATAATAATAAAGGTAATGATGATGAAGATAATATTTATAATAATAATAATAATAATAACGTTAATAATAATAATATAATATAATATAATATATATAATAATAATATAATTATATATATATATATAACAAACTTACCTACGAAGGAACGCAGAAGACGAACGCGAAGGAGAAGAAGAAAGGAGAAAAAAAAAAAAAAAAAAAAAAGAAGAAAAAGATTTAGCCGTCCGATTCCAATTCCGACTTGGGTATGGTATTCCTTGCTATTCGTAGAGTCCGATTATAAATTTTAATACGAATTTTGATATTGGAGTATTAAATTAGAAATTCTTCAAAAATTCATAATTGGCTATTTAGCTATTTAATCGATGAATTTCTTTAGCTAATAGCCTATTCGTAGCGCCGACGTTATATTTTGAGAATTTCGTACCAATCCAAGTCGAATAAAAAACGGCAGTATATTGCACCTGCCTGCTTGTTCATACCTTTGCGTATTTTTATTTAATAATCGGGCAATATAAATATTATGAGGTAGAAGGATTTTATAGCTAGAATATCATATTCTACTAAATATAAAAGTTTGGAGCCCGACGAGTTAATTATAGAAATTAGCTTTTGAATAAGCAGGTAGCTCCTGAGAATAAGCATAAAGCTCATCTGATTTGAGCAAATAATGGAACAGGTGTACGTTGGAGGAGATTTGGGTGAAGTTATAAAAATCCAGAAAGTATCGGTAGGAGGTAAGCAGTAGGGAATTAAATCTAATTTTAAGAAATTAGGTATTTATGTTGCATGTGATTCTGATTCTGATTTGATATGATATTATGTGGAATCATTTGGTCAGTGCATCTATATATGTATATATGGGTGTGTATATGCATGTGTGAAACTTCGTTTTACGATATTTGATATACGTATTTGATCGTGTTGGTGAATTTATAAAAAGGAGGATAGGTGGGCCGTCTCACCAGCCCTTTTCATTAAATTCACTTATTGACATGCTGCACACATCGCACGATTTATCGGATATGTTTTATGGATCTATCGTTTAGTTGCCGTGTGCGGTAGTGCTAGGCGAGGGCATCATCTGGGGTTAGGATATTCGACCCCGATGTACCGTAACACTTTGGCGATAGTGGACGATAGTAGTCGGACAACTGGGTGACTTAGTCGCACGGTCATTCAGGGATTAGACCCATTGCAGTTGAGACGTATTTGGTCTAATCATTCGTGTTCGGTGTTGTTCCACTCATTGGAGTAGCTACTAGTGAGGTCTACCGGTAGTTTAGGATCATATGCCAAACTCCAAACGCGATCCCGTTAGGGCGTGCGAGGAGGAGTAGAGTTTCCGGGTTTCCTTCGGGTGATTCCAGGTCGCACGGATTCTACTACGTTACACGGGGTAGGGCTAGACAGGAGGGTCCTATCTTCGCTATCACAGACTATGGGGTGTCTTGTGGTTAATGGCGACAACGCTCGGCTATCCATGTATTGATTGCGGGAGTCGTATGGTGGGTATATGGAAGTGACCGGGTGACCGTTATATTATTATGGGTTTACCAGGTCCTTCCTTGAGCCGAGGATTTTCCGGCTATTTATTGATGATAGTCTAGTGAGCCGTTATTATGGAGCCGAGGTTATTCCGGCTGCTCACTTTGACATATGTATATGGGTATATGTGCATGAGTTGTCGATTTTGACATTATTGTTACATTATTTCAGTATGGGCATGGCATGGCATTTATTTTGCAAATGACGGAAATTAAACTCTATTTTCGAGCATGACATGGCATATTTTATGTTAGTTCTTAAAATGGATTTAATTCTAGACTGCTTTTAAGAAAAATATTTGATTCAGGTACGCATGGCACCTCCGGGACAGGGGACGTCTCGGGAGATAGAAAGACGGGCTGAATGAGTGAACTGCATCTGATGTATTATATGTAAATTCTAACTAGAGAAAAACCTCCCGTTTTGGGAGTATGTTTTTGTAAATATTTATAAACTTGTTTTTTTGGAAATAATAAAATGCTTATATAATTAATTTTAGCCTTAACACTGTGTTGTGGGGCCCGAAGTAGGAGGTGACGACCTCATGATGCAGTGTGGCGGTAGCATTTCTAGTATGAGCCAACTGGGGGTGTTACAATGTGGTTGGAGAACGACCATTTTCGATTCGAAATATTCACTTGATGACGGTAACCAATGATGTGTTCATCATGGTAGTCTTCATGTGACACCAAAAATTGTCAGAAAAAATAAACAACACGTATTTGTTATAGATGGTTAAATAGGACAATAATGACTTAGATAAGTTGTATGATATATGTACTATTATAGTCCAATATCCACTTGTAGATATTTAATAAGGTTATAAGTTATTAAGTTGAATTTTGTTGGTTATTATAATACATGATTGCTGACACACATTAAAAATCTTTGAATTTATTACATATTGTTCGATCATTTATTCAAAATAAAATCTTAAACTCTAAATCAAAACCCAAAATAGAAAATATACGAGACATTTTATTGAATATGTGAAGTGCATTAGACATATCTCTTATTTAAAATACATAATCATATTTTTTTTATAATTATAGAAAATACTTATAAATAATAAAAATATATAAAATAGGCAGTGAGTATAACAAATGTTACACTTGCACACAAACATTTCCACTTGGCTAATAGAGGAAGTACTCTCACCGGGTTCCTTAATTGCCTCTCCATCAAGGATTGATTGAAATCGACCACACTCAAGGATACTTGCTACTGTACAGAAAATACCTAAGCAACCATCATGAATACCTTGAATGTCGGTGTTTGTACCCGGATCACATACATACATACTTGATCAAATACTGACATACTTGGACACATATTTTATGTACTTATAATAATGGTGTCATATGCTTCAATAACGAGTATATTTGCCCGGAGAACTCCTCCTTGAGAAATCGATAATTTTGGGTATCATATATCCTTATTAGTGGTAACCGAGGATAAATTTAACACGATAGTATTCTCATCTATTCGTAAAGAATATTAAAATAAAAAGAGTAAACGTTTATAAGAATTCAACGTAGAAACACCATTATACATATACAATAAATGTTCAATATCTACTTATGAATGGTAAACGAAGTTATAAAAAAGTTGATAAAATGTTTTCCATTACTAGACTACACTTTTGCTACTACAAATTTATTAAACAATTGATGTAATTTGAATTCATTCTCATGAAGTAACACAAGAAAAATGTAATACTTATTTGAAAGAACTAATTGTAATATACTATTAGAACTTTTATTGTGTATTCTATGCAATAAGACAAACACTTCTCTTTTAAAATATTTTCACCCATAAATAATTCAAACCGTAGGAACTTATTTAGAGGATTTTCCACTATTGAAATACATACTACTTGATAGATAATACCTTTGAAATACTCATAAATTCAGTGTTAGTATCTGAGTACTTTATTCAGATACCTACATACATTATATTTATGTATTGTTTCATTTTTCATATACCCATATATACATTTCAAATACTTTACATACGCAAACTTATGCCCATGTAATCTCAACTCGGGAAACGTTTTTACACATATACATCAAGTGTATAGTCTTACTCGTGGACGGTAAATCAAGTGACAAATGAGTTGGTTAAAATATTAATCATTATTAGGCTATTTGAGTGTTGCTACAAAGTTTGATTTGTTAATATATAACATGAATTTGTGTTTAAAATAATAGCTTAAAAATTTCCAGTTTCTACAATACATGGATTTGTATAAACTTATTTTTACCATATGTTGAAGCTTCAAAATAAATAAATAAAACATAGAAGCAACTCCAACGAAACCTCAATCCCAACTTTTGCCACAAATTTTATTCACTATCTAGGAAATAATTGGATGCTTGAAAACTTCAATATATAATTACTTCACATCTAAACCAAATTCTGCCCATTTGAAACGAAGTTATTGTTATGAATTTATTCCTGAATCGATGGGCTTTACCGACAAAATTCGTAGACACGAATAAAAATATTAGTGGAAGTGAATTTGAAATAAAATCCAAATTAATAATATTGAGACAAAATTGAAATTAAACATAATTTTAAAGCTAAAAAGACATCATGCAAGTGGGAAATTAAGAGCACAAAATATCCAACAAACAATGCCCTAAAATTGAGAAAGTAAAACAAACTTATCTCATTTGAGTAATTCACGCACAGGACAAGAAACAAATTACAAAATCTGTTTGATATTCCACATAAATTCATCCACTGACAACTTCAAGATCTATGTAGCTGACAATGGACAGTGACAATGGCTCTGGATAGCAGCTCTTCTCCGAAGGTGAACAACATACCTGCAATGTCTTCCTTCACCGACGATGACGCTACTGGGCTTCCTTATCGAACAACTTTAGTAGAATGTCAACTCCGAAGGAGTATAAATTCACAACAGTTATTAACCTTAAAAAATTCTAATATCTGTCACTTTTGGTTGCATAACCAAATTAGAAATAACCATCCAAGGAATAACCAAATCCTTTAAAAATTCCAAATAAACAATACACAAACTTAAAATAGCAAGAATAACTTATTCGCCCATTAAATTTAGCACCAGACATTTAATAAACCTCATCCCTAAATGCATCAGAAACTCGTAAAATCCTAACCTCTTATTCAAAGACAAAATTCTCCTCAGCAATAACTCAAAGACAATATATCTAATAATCACCGATAGCAATATGTTCAGAAAAATGAAGTTAAAGCTAGCGCAAAATTCCTAATCCCAAACTTAAAAAAAAAAAAAAATCCAAGAAACTAATTCGACACATATCCACGCAATATCGCCGTTTGAATCCACAAAACCAGAAATTGATACAAAAAATGAAAAAATAAAAAAGGGTTCCACCTTACCGTTGAAATTAAGTGAGGGCTTCGGAAGTTAATTAGGGAAGACAAGAAGAAATTATTGATCAAACAAAGAGGGAGATCAAAACCAATAATGACAGTTTCTTCTTGTCCAATCATTTTCCTCCGCTCTCAGCTTTTTGTTGGAGGCGTTTCGTATCGGCACGATGGTAGCGCCGATTTCAGAGTGAAGAAATGTCTGTTCAAGATCTGAAATTGGAGACTGAGTGAATAATTGATATCAGAAAACAGTGGGCAAGCGAATGACAGCTTCAATTTCTCAATCACATGTTTCTTTATCTCTGATTTCCCGCGAAAAAAAAAAAACAACCGATATTGGACGATTACAGCGTGGGGAGGAGAGAACAAAGAAAATGGAAAATGAGGGAGTGTAGTGTAACTTTTTTTAAAAAGGGACTGAACTGTAACACTTTTGTGTAAATAGAGATTTATATTCAATTCTCCGAAAAGAAAATAAGTAATTTTTTAGTGAGACGAACGAAAATAATAAAAAGAGTAATTTTAATGGAGACGGGTATATATAAAACTATATTGTTTTTATTAAAAATAAAGCATTCAACTATAATTTGAATTCAAAAAATAAGAATCAAAAACAAAAATAACAAGCTTGGGTGTGTTTGACTGTAGATTTTGAGTGTATTTCTTTTGATTTGGTTTGAATTTAATATTAAAATAATATATAATAAAATATTTTAAGATAGAAAAAAAAATTTTTTTTTTTTGAAAAACATAAAATACAAATAAAAAAAATTTGAGATTTGAATATTAAAAAAAGTACACCCAATTAGATTTTTCATTATTCAGAACTTTAAAATAATAATAATAATAATAAATCAAATCAAATATATATGAACTCCGAAATGATGTTAATTAACCTTGTTGCCCTTGAGCTTAAAGACATATGCATCATCTACTCATTTATATGAGTGTCAGCCAGTATATATCACATTAAATAATAATTTTGATTTATAATTTTAATATTTAAAATTTCAAAATTAAAAACTCAAACCTCGACCAAACACATGTTAAGGTGTGTGTTTGGTTTTAGTTTGAAACCAAAATTAATACTCTCTTCGTCCCAAATATTTTAGTTTTATTATTGTAGATACAAAAATTTAGGTAAATTATAATTAGTAGGTAATTAAGAAGTGTATTAGTAAAAATAATTATTATTTAGTAAAAAAATTATAAATTAAAATTAAGATAACTAAATAATTTAATTAAAATTAAAAAAATTATAAAATTTAAAATTTAAAATGTGATTAAAGTTCATAATTATATTTTCAAAAATAGAAAGGACAAATTACATGGGACAGACGAAAATAAAACATAGGACTAAATTATGTGGGACAAAAGAATATTATTCAGTCAAATATTATATTAAAAGTTAAATTTTAAATCAAAATCAAACGAACCCGAAATATATATTTGAAAAAAAAGATGTTGCTACAACGTGACAAGTCGACCTTTTCCCAAGTCGTCTACTTGATGCACTTCCATTATCCCATGTATTGTTATGTGTGGACTTGTTGCCCTTTCCTACGTACATATATGATATAATTTAATATTCTATCTCTCTATCCTAGAAATATTCCGTTATGACCCATTTTTTTTTTATTTATTTTTATATAACATATATTTTTCTATTTTTAATAAATTTATTTATTTTAAATATATTTAAAAAAATATAAATTAATTTAATTAAATTTAATTTATTACACGTATGATTTACTTAAAATCTGGTTATTTCTATTTATCATCAATAAACAAATATTTATATCTATATTTAAAACTTCTTATTTTTTATAAAATTAGTTTTAAGTTAATTATAAATAAAATTTGTATTATATAAAATTTTATTATCTATTGCATATATTATATTGAGATGTAATATTAAAAATATTTAAAATACGGACAACACTACTTATATAAAAAATAATAAAATAATATCATAACTTATTATTAATTATTTACTAATTTAAACTATAGTGTCCATAACCAAATAACTCATCTTTGTGGGGATAGAGAAGGGAATATTATTTCATTTGATTGTTTGCTACAAATATATTAATTTTCTTTTTTATCTATCTCTATGAAAAAATCTTACAAATCAACATATTTACTGCAGCATTACTCAATAAATTTTAAAAAATTTACAAGCCTAAATTATAGAAGTATATTCGTAATTTGTCTTTTTACTCGACATAGTCATCTTTAAAATATTATTATTTTTTAAAATTAGTAAAAAACAAATACATACATTATATTATAGCCATAATACGCAGACGAGAGAGTATATTATCACTACAAAAAAATAATATATTTGT